AGGCGGGAGAGATGGGATTTTTTTTTCCAATTATTTTATTTTATTTTATTTCAAGTCGCAGCCGCACAGAGGGTTTTTGTTCTCCCCTCGGCCCGTAGAGCCGCAGCCGTCCCGGATCCCGGCAGAGCCCGCGAGGGGCAGCGCGGATCTCAGCCCCCGGTGCCCGGGCAGCGCGGAGCCCCGCACCGCGCCTCCTCCCCGGCCCCAAACGCGCCTCCCCGCAGCCCCACTTACTTGGATCAATGTGTGGTTTCTCTCCGTTTGCCTCACTTTCTCCATTGTTTTCAGAGAATGCGCCTTCGTGGCTTTGCTTATCCCTATCAACTGGAGGAGAACCACAAGCATAATCAGACAGAGACAAAGTGTGAGTGTCAAACGTGGTACAGTCACCCCTTCTGGCCGCCAGCGGTTCAGGTTTAATGCCGTAATGCCTGCTGGTAGGTAACCCGGGGAAGGACAAGGAGCCCGGCACAGGCTCGAGCCACGAACGCATGTACCTGCCGTCGGGCGGTGCCACGGGCGCCTGGTGGTGCGCGTAGGGGTGGTACACGGCGGGGACGCCGCTGGCGCCGGCGGGGTGCGCGGGGCTCCAGGGGGGGCCGAAGACGGGCGCCTTGGGCTGGAAGCTGCAGGGGGTCAGCTCGGGGTGCTCGGCCAGCGCCGGGCGCGGCGGCGGCCCCAGCGGCGCGGGGGCGTAGCGGGGGGCCGCCAGCTCGTCCCCCTCCGGCACCAGGAAGGAGTCCACGTAGTAGTTGCTGAGGGTCCCGGGGGCCGACATGGCGCGGCGAGGCGCGGGCGCCCGACCCGCCGCAATTCGGGGCTGCGGCTTTCACGTAACAACTTGGTGCTGGCGGAGAAGTAGAGTCAGTAATAAGTTGGGGGCAGCCCGGGCGCCCATTGGCTGCCCCGGTCACGTGGCGGGGGAACAGAACAATAAAGTATAAATCAGTCCGCGGGCTATTAATGGGTCAGTGTTTTCCAGCCATCATTTTTATAGCGAGGCCATATGTTTTTATGCAAAGGGATATTTGAGTTATACGGCGGAGTTTGTTTTAATTGCGGCCAACTGAGATTAAAAGATCGGATTCCGCATTACGGCCCCCCCCTTCCCTTTCTTTCTCTCCTCTTCCTCTCTTCGTCCCCCTCTCTCCTTTTTATTTTTTTTTTTTCGTTTAAGCGGACTATTTTATACCGTAATTAATCATCCCATCAGTGAGTCGCGTTCCCTTAAAAAAAAAAAAAAAAAAAAAGGCACAAAAAAACCCACCAAACCCTTTTGGTCGGAGACCTTCACATAAAATTATACAACAATCGAAGCAATAAAAAGAAGCAAAATAGCAGTTGCGGCGTACTGTATTTAAATACATATTTATTATATTTCATAAGGAGTTATTGTTTCGGGAGCCACGGGGTTGTTATGAAGTCAGTAACTATGAGCGCGCTCATTTGCATCGCTGTGTTTCACAGCAGTAAAAATTTACGAGTGCTCGGAAAGGTTAAATTATACCATTGTGTTTCGTTTGGGAGCTCCCTGTAAATAATCCCGTTCCGTTCCGCGCTAAGCGGGACCGGCAACGAAAAGTCAAACCCGACGCATCCCACGGCCGGAGCCGCTCCGAAGGGCCGTAAGAAGACCCGGGCAGGACCGGGATTTCGGCCCCCTCGGGCCGGACTGAGCGCGGCAGTGACCGAAGCTCCCTCCTCGCCCGGCCCTGCCCTTGGACCCCCCCCCCGGCAGAGGGGCCGCCGGGAGCCGGGCAGCGGCGGGCAGCGGCGTCGATTTATTCTTAACTATGCAGCCCAGCGGGGGGGGGGGGGGGGGGGGGGAGGAAGGGGAGAAAAAGCGCCGTGTGCCCGCTGCAGTAAGGCACCGCGCTCGGAGGGGAGGATGTAAAAGGGGCTCTCGCTTTCGGCCGCCCCGCGCCCCGCGGAACAGAGAGAAGTTATTGATTTGGCAGCAGGACGCGCTCTAGAAACCGAGCAGAGGGTTACGGTCCTCCGCGGAAGGAGGGGAGGGAGAGGGGGAAAGCAAGGCGCGGCCAGATCCAAGGCCAGTGTTAGGGATTAAACGGGGATGCGCTGCGCGCCCGCGCCACCGCCGGTCCCCGTCCCTCCGGCGGACGCGCAGTGCTGCGGTGTGCAGGGGGAGCCCCGAAATCCCCGTAGGAGCCTCGGGGTGCTCGGGGTGTGCTGTGCTGAAAGCAGAGCCCCCTGAACGGAAGGGAAGGCCGAGTGAGAATTAAAATCACATGTAAATATCGTGCGTGCAAAAGTGTGGTTCTAATTAGTTTTACATGGCTGTGTGGGCCGCTTCTCTCCCTCTCTCTCCCCTCTCTGTTTCTCGCTTTTTCTTTTCATGTCCTCCCAACAGTTTAGTCAGAAATCGCGCGGAGATCCCATTTTAACGACGCTCTCTCCCCATTCACGATTACAAAGGCCCATAATGAAACTATTATCCCCTATTAGAGTTAGAAAATTATAAAACACTTACGGGATCCCCGCAAAAGGGGAGCCCGTTAGTTTCGAACAATTCAAAAAATGTACATAAAGGTCTCCTCCGCTACTTTTTGTGGCCGTTGTATAGACGCGCTGTAATAGCGAAAAATAATTGTATTTCTTTCCTGGAAAGACGGAACTCGACGTCATTTATATTTATTATTAAGAGTCAGCTGTGGTGAAATGTGATTGTAGAACTTCCTTTTTCCATTCAGAAAAAAATAATCTTAGCTGCAGGAGTCCTGGATGTTTATATTCGAATTTGGGTTCTCAACTTGTGGCGGGTTTCAATTTTTTTGGTTCCTCACCAAAAATAATAGCAAATGAATAACAATAACAATAACGTTTAAAAGAACGCGTCTGCATTTTTATTTCCCTGTAAAATTCGGAACGCGTTCGCTGCCAACACCCGAGCGGCAGGAGAGGTTGTGCGGAAAGCGCGAGTTAAAATATGGCAAATAATTACAGGCGTTTTTCACGCGGTCACAGCGCTGCTGATAGCGCTCGAGCGCTCGCCTCCCTTTTCGACCTTTTAGGCTCAGTTTTCCCCAAAGTACGTTTTTCATACGAGCCACGAGAGCTCGTGGGAGGCTGCACCGGTTTCGTACCGTTTACCTTGCCGGTTACTGCGGGATTTGGGGCAGCAGATCCCGGGAAAGACCGACCGGCCATCCCACCGCGGTACGAAATCGGAATTTCCAGGCACGAAGCACCGTTCTCGTGGCCGAATAAAACCCTTCCCGGCCTCCATCCCGGCACAGCGAAACCCGGCGCTCCCATCCCTCTTGCTGAGGCAGGAAGCACGCCTCTGCGAGGGGCAGAGCTCCGCAGCCGCGGGCTTTGCGCGGATTTTGCGCTGGAATGCCGTCTCGCCTTTTCCTGCCGCTGTGAACGATTCGGACGGAACCCACCGGCGCGGAGCGGTGCTTTGGCACAGCGGGCGGAAAGAATGACTCAGAGTTTGGGGGAAGCTGTCCAAAAGCGGAGCGATGTGAATCCAAAGAGATATAAAGCACAGAGGAAAAGCTGTGCGTGAAGGCTACAGAGGCACGCACACACTGTAAATACACCGTCGGTATGTACACAGAACAGGGCAGCCCGACAGCAGCACGGTGCTCACAAGCAGACACGAGCAGTGCTGTCGGACTGCGGTGTACACATCTGCTCCTGGCCCGGCCGAGGCGTCTCCCGCGAAGATCCAGCTAGGGTAGGTCTGCCTCAAATCCGCTATCTAACCGCTCTCTGTTTCTGCAGCCCCGTCTGGAGCTTCAGAAAAAAAAAGTTTTTCCTTCTCTTTGAGCAGAAATAATTGATCGGTCATTTAGGGGAAAAAAAAAAAAAAAATAGGGGGGGGGGAGAGAGAAGGAAAAAAAAAATAGAAAGCCAAACCCAACCCCACAGGAATGCCTTTCCCTGCCCGTTCCCGTGCCCGCCTTTCCGCTGCGGGGCAGCCGGTTCGGAGCGCGCTGGCTGCCCTGTGCTGCGGGCGCAGAGCCCGGCGTGAGGCCGCCCCCGCCGAGGGCGCCGCGGACACAAAAGGCTGCGGGCGCGGCGCGGAGGAGCGGCGGCGGCGGGCCCGGAGAGGTCGCTGTTGCCCGTTCCGCCGCCGAGGAGAGCGGCTCCGGGCACGCTGCAATCGTGATCGTAACCGAGGCCTTGTGGGCCGCGTGGCGATGAGCCCGGGGGAGTGGGCCCGACGTCGAGGGCTCGGGGTACCGAGGTCACCCCTCGGGAACCGCGTGGACGAGAGCGGGCTCGGCGGGGCGGGCGGCCCGGAGCCCCGTGTGTCGGTACGCCCCTGGAAAAGGGGCTGCCCGGCTCCGTCTCTCCCCTCCCCCGGGCGGCCGAGAGCTTTTCGTCCTCCGTTTTTGAATAAATCCAGACGGAAAAAAAATATAAGCGCTCCCCGCCCTCGCCCCCCTTCCGATCCCTCCGCCGGAGCTCTACCCACGCCGAGCGGAATGCAAAAACGCACCTGACCTTGAATGCAGCCTACGAGAGATATGAAAATCCCGCAAGCAGGCAGGGACTCGCTTAGGAGCTAGCTAACCTTGAAGAACTTGTCAAGCTTCCCCCCTCGGCTGCCGTGTTTATCTGAGGAATCAGAGGAGCCTCCGTTGCAGATGGAGAACAATGGCATTGGGACTTGACGCCTACAGATAACTTCGGCGCTAAGATTTCTTCGGGCACAAAGGACCCTCGCACCAAGCATACCTGGTGATGATATCAGCTGAAGTAATTAAGGCAGTTTCGTGCTGTAGAGAGAAAGGTGGAGCCCCAACAACATGAAACTACCTAAACCACAGAGCAGTTCTCAGGCGCTAATAGTTACTTTCCCCATAGCCGTGGTCTTTAACTCAAGGATCCCGCTACGGAAATAAAACCAGAAACGTGACCCCGCAGTCCCTCTCGCCCCCCACGCACCCCGCCGGGCCCCCCGCGCCCCCCAGCCGGGTTCAGGGAAACAGAGGAAAAGCATCGGCGCGCCGCCCCCCCCCCCAGGGCGGCTTTCGCCTCTCCATGCAGATGGGAAGGCCGTCCGCTGCGATGTTACATCATAAAAAGCTAACGGCTCCCTCTAAGCCCGGGTTCAAAGTCTCTCCCCCTCCTCCCAGCACACACATACCCGGGAAGAAAGCTGGAGCTGTCGCTCCTCTGCCAGCCCTCGTTGTGCCTTCCCTTTGTGCGAGCTCCCGCTAGCTAAGCATGCAGCGAAGGAGGGAGGATGCAAAGGCGGCCCGGGGGGAATAAGCGCTCCCGCATGCAGCCAGGTAGGGAACGGCCCTGTCCGAGGGGGCCCGGTGACACGGAGGCGGCTCTCACCTCCCCCCTCCCCATGCGCTCACCTTCACGGTTTCTTCCGAGCCCTGAGATAAAGCTACGGTTTGTCACCGTCCTCGGCAGCTAAAGATCTCTGCACCCTCGAAGGTGTGTGATTAAAAGGGGGTGGGGGTGGGGGGGTGGGTGAGAAAATAAAAATCTCTTCCCTACCCTCAAGAAATTGTAATTTGCTTCCTCAGTCTGTGCAGCTCCTCAGTCAACTGAAACCACTCGTTCAAGACAGCAACAATCCAGATATACTAGCAAGTCATAAAACTGAACAAAAGCCGACAAACCTTAGAGCACCATCGCTATATGGCCCAGACAAATTACGACCGTCTAGGTAATATTTAAATAGATTCCTAAAGTAATTGCAGGGGGTTTAGGCAACTATTCCTGTTGTAAAAGTTCTCGAAGACATAAAGTAGAACCTGAGGATAAACAGTCACAAAAAGAGGTAAAATTAAAAGGATTCATTCCACTTTTTTTATTCTTCTATGAGAACATAAACATCGTCTTTTTCACGCACAGCAGCATTACAATATTAATTTATTCCGATTTAAGGTAAGAACTAGATATAGCTAGAACTAACATTTATAATAACGATAGAATGCATTTGCTTAAAACGGTATCGGCGTTTTAATAATAATAGACATTTATACATATCTGTATTTATAGTTTTTCCCCTTCTTTCTTTCTCCTTTTTAAAATCTTTTTCTAATCTTTTTCACCTATAAGCTTGACCCTTTGATGCACGTAACTTCACAGTATAAAGGAAGACGGACGAACTCTCCCTCGCTATCTCAGGCTCTGGCTCAGAAAGTCCTTTTGATGTTCAGGATGTACACTTTGCAGTGAAATTAGTGAGGAAAAATTTACGGTTTTTTTTTTTTTTTTTTTTTTTTTTTTTTTTTTTCTCTCTCAAGGGGGAATCGTTGTGTGCTTATCCCGTGCTACCAACGGTAACGCTATTTATCGACCAAAAAAAAAAAAAAATCACTAATTCCACATCTTTAAGCAAAACTACATTACGTAAATATCTACAACCAGAAAGAGAGAGAGAAATTCAGAGGTAAGTGTCATAATTTAGTCCATGAGCGAGACGAACTTTTTTTTTTATATATCTTTAAAGAGAAGAGATTTCATTTTCCTGGCCAATTTCAAAGCCGTAATATTGACTTTCAAGGTAAAGAACAAAAAATTGCTCTTAACGCTAGTTCCCATGAAGTCCTTTTAAAGGATGCCTGCATTTCATTATTGCAAGTCCTGCTTTGGGAAGGATAAAGGGGGAGGGGGGAGACAGGGAAAACAGAGAGAGAAAAAGCTGAGCTCCCAATATATAGAAATATGGCACGGCTTAAATAATTCATTCCGAAGCTACTTACAGACCGAGTTACACCGCCTATATTTTAAAAGAATGCGCCTTTACTTTTCGGAGAGACATGGGGTTGGGAGAAGGGGGGAGGGGGGGGGGGGTAATGTTTGCAGCTCCTGAAATCCTATTTCTGGGCTTTCAAAGCTTGAAAGAGCAAAGCGGGCCCGGGGAAGGCTGCAGGAACCGAGGAGGCTCACACATGGCCCTCAGCGTTAGCATGGCTTTCTTCCGCTCCCGAAGCAGCCATTAAGACTTTAAGGACATACTGAGAACGTCTAAAATCGTTAATCCATACAGGTGCGGATGACTACAGCCTAGGAAAATGATACTGGCTCTTTAAACCATAAAGATGTGTTTATAGGTTCATCAAGAGAAATTAAAGTTGGCTGTGAGCTCCCGAATCCTATTCTCTCTGTTCATTTTCTTCAGTTTCATTCTGCGGTTTTGAAACCAGATTTTAACTTGTCTGTCTGTGAGATGGACTGTGCGGCTGATCTCTAGGCGACGCTCACGAGTCAGGTACATATTGAACAGAAACTCCTTTTCCAGCTCGAGAGTTTGATGCTTGGTATAGGGGCACCGTTTCTTTCGGCCACTTTTTGCGGTTAGCCAGTTTGCTGCATTTTCTCCTTTTGAATTGCCTAGTTTTGAGAAAGTAAAAGAGGGACATTACCAGCGGGTAGGAAGCAAACAGCTGGGAGAGAGGGTGGAAAGCGTGTGTGGGTGTGTGCACATACAGGGGCTCGCTCCTCCAGTGCTGGGGTGTGGTGGCCTTCCGAAAGCTCCCGAGCGCTCTCCTAAAGGCCCTGGGGCTGCCACGGGGCAGTCTTTCCTCTGCTGGGATGCTCGGAGGGGAGTCCAGCTCCGACCCCCCGAAACGGGCTTCTCCCCGCTCCGACCCCGCCGTTCCTGGGGGGCGGCTCGGTGCGGAGCCTGAAGCCTTTCGGCCCTCCCGAGACACCTGCTTCCAAAAACAAAAGCCACCCGAAACGGGAGGATCTGAGCTTCGTAAGTGTGCTCTGGGGGCTGAAAACAAGGTGAGCTGCAGGGCCCTAGCCCCCTGCCTCCCGGGCTGCCTCGCCATGGCCTTTTGCTCTCCCACGAATCGGCGAAAGAAAAAAAAAAATAATAAAAGAAAGGGGGGGAAAAAATCACCCCCTTTCAGGGCGGGAAGTCCTATCGCTGGAACCGTATGGGAAAGAAGTAACACCGATCCCTCGATGGCTCGGAGTGGCTCGCAGGCGTGGGGCTGGCTCTCTAGGAGCTTTCCTTTGCTTGCCTTTCGTTTTGATCTTTAAATTATTTTTAATTATTCTCCAACGGGGCGCCTGAAGGAATAACAGGGCGTCTGAAATGCAGCCAGTGAGAAGTGCCTAGAAAGTCTGCGGCCCACGGAAGGGGAGCTAGGCTTTCGCCATGGGGACCGGAGAGGGAAATAAATAGGCGAATGAATAAATAACAACCCTGTTATCTAGTGTAGACGCTGAAGGATATTCGCTGTGCATTCATCAGTCTAATTTGATAGCAGTTCATAGATGGCACATTTCAGCGCGGCTGTTATTCCGAAAAGCATTCTGGATCGTAAAATATAACTTACCGCGTTAATAGGTTTATTTATTGGCACTGCCTATTGCTTATTTTGGATGCTATACAAACATCTCTGTTATCTGGTAGGCACCTTCCCATCGCAGGGGAAAGATTGAGCTCGTTTTTCTATACGTTTAAGCCGCACGCAGGCGAAAGTTGCCCAGAGCGGAGGCTCTCGAGGTTTTAAGCTATAGGACGGACGTTAATTTTTACGGCAACCCCGTGCCCGAATATTACAAAGTTCAGAAGGTCACCGCGAGCAGCGCTTCTTGGCAGCCCTGCGGGGCAGCCAGGATCCTCCTTTCGCGTCGTGACGCTCCTCGCCCGCGTTTCCTTTTTAATTACCGTTATCACCGCTTCCTAAGCCTCACCCCGCCGTGCTTCGCTTACCTACGGACTCCTTCTCGGGAGAGGCCTTGCTGCCCTCCGACGGCGCGGGGGAGAGCTCCTCGGCGGTGGACGACGAAGCGCGGGTCTCGTCCTCCCGCTGGGAGCCGCACGCCGAGGGGCTGGGGGAGCGCTCCTCGTCCTCCCTCCTGCCCGCCTCCGGCACGGGTGGCCCCGACGGCGGCGGCTGGAAGCGGCCGGGGGGCTGCGGAGCGAAGGGGGCCGCCCCGGCCGGCCCCGCGCCGTAGCCCTTGGAGGTGCCGTAAGCCTGGGAGAGGCGGAAGTAGCCCGGGACCGGCACCCCGGTGCCGTTGGCGGAGGGGCTGACCTCGGCGCTCAGCCGCGGGAAGGGAGCGAGGTCGGCGGCGGCCGAGCCTTTGGGGCATTTCTCTGAGTCATAGAGGCAGTAGGAGCTCTCCTCCTTAATGTTTTGAGCGAAGGAGCACGAGGTGGCCTGCTGGCTCTCCGGCTCTTCCATGCGACAGGAGCGGGGCGGGTCTAGCCACACTTCCATCCCCGACACGTAGGGGTGCGTGCTGGGGACCATGCTTTGCGAAGTACCTTCATTGCGTTTGCCCAGGACGGGGAACAGTCCGCAGCCCTGCAGCCCGTAGGACAGCTCGGATGCCTGTGGCAGGTAGAGCCCGCTGCCCGGGTAGTAGCCGCCTCCTCCTCCGCCTCCGCCTCCTGCTCCCGCCGCGTCCCCTCTGCCCGCGCTGATCAACGAGTCCACCAGGAAAGAGTTTGCAGCCGGGCTCTCGGAGCATGACATTGTCGTGGAATAATTTGGCGAAGGGAGCGGATAGCCCTTCCTGGCTGACATTTCTTGTGCAAAACATGCTGAATATGATTAGAGATACCCCCGCACCGCGGCGAACGCTTGCAGCCAATGGAAGCCCGGGCCTCCCCAGCAACCCCTCCCCGTCTGGTTTCGTATGCACCGAGCTTGCTCTCAGGTCGACCTCTGAATTTGGGATATGGATGGATATTAATGTGCGATATGGATTTCCAGCCACACGCACACGTGCGGAGCGGCGCGGCGGGGCAGGGCCGGAGCGGGGCAGGCGGCGGCTCCCGGATCTCTCCGCTCTGCCCCACGCACCGCTCTGCGCGGCGGTGTTTATGACACCCCGGCTGCGGCCGCGGCCAGATGAAGCTTTTATTATCGCTCCTCTCTCCCCGCGGTCGGGCTCTCCGGAAGCGATCCGTGCTCACCTCCCCAAGCAGCCCGTGTGTGTGTCACGAAATTAATAAAGCCGTGGCTCTCCCTGTGTTTTATGCTCAGGCTCTGCTCGTTTTATTTGATTCTCTCTTTTTTTCTTTTCTTTTCTTTTCTTTTCTTTTCTTTTCTTTTCTTTTCTT